CCATTCCATTATCATCCATTTAAAAATATACTATGTTTTGTGCGCTCCATATAGAGCCATGACATATTTCTTTTTAATTTTAAATATTTTCTTGAAGTCTACTGAATTTTAAGCTCACAGTGAAGTCATTATATTTAATGACCTCCTCTCAGGATATAGGGTACTCGTCGTATATATATTTTTATATATCTACTAATAGTTAGTGCCATCTGGAGATCTCTGAACGAATTATATTAGAACAAACGTACACTATTATGCTAATTTCAAATCTTAACAGACGTAGGAAGTAATAACTCAATCGTTTGTTGAACTGTCAATCCACAAAGAATCGCTCTCCTTTTGTGTAGTCGCAAACATAAAACTATATAGAACTTTATTGCTCTGTACATAAGGTTGTTATTGTAAATGTATCCGATTTGCGTAGTCGAATTTATACAATTAGAACTCTAAAGGTGTTGTAATAAGATTATTTTTGGATTGTTTAAAAGTAATATACGTTAAATAGATCACCTCCTACTCGAAGTAGTGTCTGTTATAGTAAATCGTTTAATTTGTATATATGACAAAATATACAGCGACTAATTGAGGTCAATAAGAGGTACAGTTATTGTGAAATGCACACCTACATTTTTGTTAATGGAGTTAAACAATAATTGTGTTTTATAATTCAAATATGCAATATTTTGATTAATTTCATAAAATTTTTATTTTTTTGTTTTGTAATGCATCTCTACGGAGGTGGGACGGGTGGGTAATCTTAATCTTTAGATAGTATAAAACAAAGTCGCTGTCGCTGTCTGTCCGTCCCTATGTATGTTTAAATCTTTAAAACTACGCAACGGATTTTGATCCGGTTTTTTTATAAATAGAGTGATTCAAGAGGAAGGTTTATATGTACATCCGGGCGAAGCCGGGGCGAGTACCTAGTAATATTATAAATGCAAAAGTTTGTGAGTATGGATGGATGTTTTTACTCTTTCATGCAAAAACTACCGAACGGATTTTAATTTAACGAGTGTGTATTATTAAGTCGAGTTATGAAAGTTTTGTATGAAAATTGAAGCAATAAAACTCGTATTTTTCTTTCTCTGGCTAGAAAAATAAAGATATAAAAAGATAAATGAAATACTGAAGAATTTTTTTTGCTATAAAAATAGTAATATAATAACTAGTATATAAAAGATTAAAATATCTTTTTATTTTCTTATATAAAAATTGCAGCAATCAAACATACGACCTATCTGATGGTATACGGTCACTAAAATCTATAAATGGTCTGTTGGCGGCAGACCTCTTTTTATAGATTTTCTTATTTTAAACCGTATATTTTTTATTACATTATTTTGCTTTTATTGTGTCATATATGTTAATAAATACGCTACTACAAGATTAGTAAGTTATTTATTTATTTACCGTACATTCACTGCCGTTGCCAGCCGTATTATGGCCCAAACACCAGGGCTATTGCCGAGGGCAACCTTTTTGATAGCTTTTATGTTTTTTATATATATTTGAATTTTGTATTTTGACATTCTGTTTTTATATACCGTTTGTTTTCTAATGCCATATTCTTTGTCTTTATATTTTTGCTAGCAAGCTGATTACAGATATTTTACCAGATCTAGGAACGTGTCTCATTTTAAACCAGCCTTAATACAGTCCTTCCGTAACAAGGGCTGTCACTTGCGCTTTGCTAAAACTATGAATAAACAAACTTTTTTTTATATTATACCACGATGGTGGCAAATAAGCATAATGCCCCAATGGTTACCATAGCCTATGGACGACTAAGACACCAGGGGTGTCACGTGCGTGTTCCGATTCTTAAGAAACCTTAATATACCCTTCTTGAAAAACCCCATGCTGATGCTGTAGTCTCTCTCGAGAAAATCTTGGAAAGTAGTTCATTCCACAATGTAAGTGTACGCGGGAGAAAGCTCCTTTGAAACAGCACTGTCCGAGACCACTTAGCACCACCTTTTGGTAAACCTTGGAAAATAGAGCGTATCCAAGATTTACCAAGTTAATTTATTGATACACCTAAAATAAATAACCCTAGACAATTAATACAACATCATCTAGTCCCAGAGCTGGTAAGCAGAGCTTGTGTTATGAGTACTAGACAACTGATATAGATACTTACATATATTTTTTTGTAAATACATACGTAATATACATAAAAAAACACCTAAACCGATGTAAACAATCATACTCATGAAATTCAAATGTTTGCACCGTGCGAGAACGAAACCGAACCATCGGAAGTTAAGCGGTGTGCTAAATCGCTAGACCACCGAGGCCGTCAGGAACCAGTAGGATTCCTTCACAGCAGTTACAAATATGCTCAAACCAAACAATTGGAGCTCCCTTAAAAATAATAAGAGCTCTTGTTTTGACACTAATGTCCTAAACAAATAAGCCCTTTCGCTTTTTCACTTTGCAGTCACTTAAGTTAATCGTCCGCTGCTTATTGGTTGTCGCACGCGATCTGTCGATTACAGCTAAACCAACTTATATAGACCCGCGTATTTTCTTAGTTAACTTAAAAGTAACTTAGCAAAAGGTTTGTGTTTTAGGTCAGCGTTGCTTGGCGGAGTTGTAGGCTGTTGTTATGATTCTTGTCTGTTTTGAGCGGAGGCTATATTAAAGCAGAAAACCCTTCAATTTTGTTTAATTCCTTCGCTTTTTTGGTTGTACAGCCCAGTTAGTACTAAGAGGTTGTTTTGTTATTGTAATTTGTTTTCCAAAGGTTATGTGGATATATTAATCTGTACTAATATTATAAATGCGAAAGTAACTGTCTGTCTGTCTCGCTTTCACGCCAAAACTACAAATCGATTTATATGAAATTTGGTATACAGATAGTCTAGACTCTAGGAAAAAATGTGAGCTACTTTTTGATACCAAAAAACAACCCGTAAGGCATTGAAAGGGGAGGTGAAAGGTTATATGGAGGAATCGTCATCTTTAAAGCTGGAAGTTTAAAATGTATTAATATAAAAAAAAGTTATATTCCATCCGAACGAAAAAAAAAACCGCTAAATTCCATCTCCAAAGATATTAGCTACTTTTTAATACCAAAAAAGGGTTGTAAGGCATTGAAAGGGGACATGAAAGGTTGTATAGAAGAATCGTTATTTTTGAACCTAGATACTTGAAATGTATTAAAATAAAAAAAAAAGTTATATTCCATCCCAACTAAATCGTTGGTAAAAGCAAGATATAAATGTTTTTTTTTGTAATTTATTTATAAGAGTTACAGATGTACAGATATATATTAGATTAAATCTTTCTGTATATTGCGTTAAAGTTGTAGAGAAATGTTAAGGAATTTGTATAATTACGGTGTAGGCAGGCCCACTTCTGTCACGGGTGGTCTGTGGAGCCCCGCTGTGTTGATATACAATGGTGTTCATAGAAACCATTACAAAATAGGATTATTGTCACTAGTGATTGCGCAAAAAATAACGACTCTTTTAAACAAAGAAACATTTTGACTGCTAAAGATACTTTTTCTGTAAAAACTCAACATCAATTAATCGCTTGTCAAATATTGTGGATTTTCCTTAATACGAGGTTAATGCCATTTTATTTTATATTGTGTACGAGTATCTGCGACTTCGTCGGCGGAGATGTTAACTTATCTATACATATAAATAAAATTGGAGTGTCTGTTTGTAATATTGAAATAACCGTTTTTTACTACATGCATATGAATATAAATACGGTGCATACACCAAAATAACATTTTTTACAATTTCTGTCTAACTGTCGTGTCTGTTTGTTCCGGCTAATCTCTAAAATGGCTGGACCGATTTTGACGGGACTGTTATTGGCAGGTAGCTGATGTAATAAGAAGTAGCTTAGGCTCTTTTATTTTAGAAAAATAAAGTAAATTCGACGCGGACGAAGTCGTGGGTACAGCTAGTTTTTATATAAAATTAATCAAATTTCTGAAATAAAAGTACCACTAAGTTACTCCTTATAACTTTAGCTATTTAAAGTTAAAGTTAGGTTAAATTCAAAACCTTACACCACCGAAGTCGTCAATTCTATGTATTATTAAGGATTAAAATAATGTCTATTTAATATTTTAACTCTAATGAACTAGTGCCAGATGGTAGTTTATATTTTTCACATGTTCAAACTTAATAATGTATATATATAACAAGTATTTAAAAGAGCATGACAAAATTTTTTTGCTCATTTTTCTTACGATGAATAAACTTTCAGAATAAGCGATAAAATAAATAAGTATGAATATTGAAAAGTGCTTAAATTTAAGTTTAAATTCCATTTTACTGTACTTAGTGCAAAGATAATTACTCTCATATCACTTCCGTACCGAAACTTTTGGGTCCGAAGTGCAGCGAATAAGTTTTAATTCAGTGTAACATTACATCAGCTACATTGACTACATTATTATATTCCTAGTACCTATATTTAGTGTATTTATTAGTTATTAGTGTGGTGTAACCTGGATTACATATTTACAAAGTTAACTGATGTAATGAATGCAATACAGAAGCCGGTGAGTCTGTTAACCGGTATTTAAGCGTACTAAAAGTTACGAGCTTACCACAGTTATTAAGTTATCCGTATCTGTATTATATGAAACTACTTTATGAAATGTATTAATTAATATTACTTGTTTAATATACATTATTTATATTAGTAACCTAATGTATAGTAGTTAACCGGGTCTTAACACGAATCACATTTGAAAAGTTGAGTTTCTTGTCAGTCCTTCTTAGCTTGTAAACACTCCAAACTAACGGCTGATTATTATAAAATTCTGTAATAGATCTGTATGAATAAAGATATTTTGATTTGATTTATATTGTATTCATTTTAGGGTAGATAACATAGATTCATAGAGAAATAAGAAATTAAAAGCATTTTTAAATAACATAACATTCTCACCAATTTATTATATGAACATCTTCAATGATACAATCAGATGGCCCGATGTACAATGATATCAGCTCATATTCAATCTTCTAGCAGTAATTTAGCAGTTCAGATAGCGTACAGGCCTTCTCGCAGCATTCTGTGGCGACGCCTTGCCTCTTGCCCCTGACGCTTTCTAGAGCCTTGAACTTCGGGAGAGCTGGTAGAGACCAACTATACATTTCGTAATCAGGAATACTGTTGGAAGATCTCTTGTCAACATCTTCTGTGCAAAGGTACGCCAAAGCTTCTGAAAGTCTTCTACCGCAGTAGTATTGGACGGAGTTTCCCGATGTGGTGAATGACGACAGGATTGCAGCCAGAGCGAGAAATAATGCCAGGACCTTCATTTTGTTATGAGTTGGGAGTGCTATTGTCTCAATGGAGAGATTGTGAATGTGGTTGAATCGTGAAAAACCGGTTTTTATATAGTAGAAAGCTTCATTAAAATGCAGATATCTGAAATTATGCTTAATACAGTGTTACAACGTGTAGGTCGCAGACGTTACAGACTGTCAGGTCACGTTTTCGAATCACTACACATGACATTCTGTGACGTAGGATTGTATACGTCATAATTTTGTTCCAGGGGTAATTTTAATAAGTACACGCTAAGTCATTTGGTCATTTCGTGGATGTCATGTAGAATTCATAGTTCATTACTGACCACGGTAAGTTAGCCGTGGAGTTGTACCAGGTTGTCTGTAATAGATCGACTTTTCGAAAGCGACAAAGTTATTATCTAAATAATTTTTTCAATTCAAATTCTAAATATCTTTATTCATGTAGGTCTATTACAGACTCTTATGATATGTCAAATATACCGTCAGTTCGGAATGATATCGAGATGAGAAGAACTGACAAGAAAGTCAGCTCGTTTTTGTTTCAAATAATAGTGGAACATGTTTATGATAAATACAGTTATTAAAATTCAAATTTGGGAGAATAGAGTGACCACCAGCATATGCTATCGCAAAGAACAAAAAATTTAATCAGTGTTCACAACCTGAACAGATCAGTTTAGTTTTATTGTACGTAAGGGGCCATTCAAGTATTAAGTAAGCACTGGGGAGGGGGGGGGGGGAGATTTTGGATGACATCCCCCATGTCATCCAAAATAAGCAATAATAAGTATGTCTATGGGGAGTCTAGATGATGATTACTCATCGGTAGTTATTTACTTTTTTAAATAAATGGCAACTCTCACATTCTCTTTGCTAAAAAAACAAAAAACAATACATTAATTGAAAAATGTTTACGTAATCACGGGGGAAGGGGGTAAGAGCTGTTTGTTTGTAATATTGAAATAACCGTTTTTTACTACATGCATCATCATTGCCTTGCCTTTATCCCATTATTTGGGGTCGGCGCAGTATGTCATTCTCTTCCACTGATCTCTATCAATCGTCTGTTGTTTTACTACATGCATACGAATATAAATACTGTGCATACACCAAAATAACATTTTTTACAATTTTTGTCTGTCTGTTTGTTCCGGTTAATCTCTGAAATGGCTGGACCAATTTTGACGTGACTTTCATTGGCAGGTAGCTGTTGTAATAAGGAGTAATTTAGGCTACTTTTATTTTAGAAAAGTAAAGTTAAATCGCGGGAACAGCTAGTAAAGATTAAAGAAATACGGCTCTATTGGGGTTTAGTACATTATCACATACGGATAGAAAATAAGTTATACCTCTTTTTGGTATAACTTATATTGTTGTGAAAACGTTGTTATGAAAACAGCTAACATATAATTTTGGATGCAGCTGTCTTTAGTGGACTGTATTTACGACAATAGGATTTGAGCAAGTGATAATTTGGAAGGCACTCACCTTGTACTGCGAGGATTGCCGGTTCGGTTTCAGCAAGGCTTCCCAGAACTCCGGGCTTGTCCGAACTTACCTTTTGAACGGGTTACCTGTTTACCGCCAAAACCGACAATAGGTGCTCTCCAGTATCAACTCTTGCGTTCCTTTATTATTTCGTACTTAAACTAATAATATTCACGAATTTAGTTAACAAATCTATATAAAATATCGACAATTACGACAGCGATAATCAGAACACTTTTTCGACAACGACAAAGGCGAAACGACTCCCGCCCTCGTAATCTCTTTTTTTTTATTATTATTTACGGCATTGGATATCGCGATAATGTTGCCGTGCGTATTATTGTGAATAGTGAACAATTAATATAAATAATCTTCCATTCTTTTCCTAAATGATATAGGATAAAGACTATTAAATGGATTGTTATTTTAACATATAATATCCACATAAAAGCAAAAGCAATATTACCTCTTCATGGATGTATTCAATCTAAAATATTTTATCCTTGTAACATTTCCCATCGTAAAATACTTCAATACAACACGTGAAAGAGACAAGTCCAGGCTTGTTTACAGAAGAAACAGTTTCGTGTTACAAAACGCACCATAAATCGTAACATAACGTTTAACTACGGTTCAAAATAGCTCACCAGATATAGTTAAACTGCAGTTATTATTAACTAACAGACGATGGGTTTATGACTGATATTCGAACTGGGAACTTTTATAGGACGAATGTGATATTAAATTTTTCATTGTGACTATTGACTCTTTGATTACTTCCTGTATACTTGCAGCCTAAAAAGGTGTGATCAACTTTCATCAGCGTCATTAATTATATCTATTGACATTCACCGGAATGTACGATACTGAATATGGATCTCCGTTCCAATCCCTCGGTGGTCCAGCGGTAGCTTACCGCCTTATTTCCGATGGTCGCGGGTCCGGTTCCTGGCACAGTACTAACTGTTTTCTTTTAATAAAAAAAAAGAAATTCAATTGAGTTTCTTGCCAGTTCTTCTCAATTGAATCTATGTACTGAACTGGATGGTAGGGGAATTATAATATAAAAAATTTGACGTTCATTAAACGGCTAAAATAAATAAATGATTTTTGAATTTGAAACACTTGTATTCATGAATATGATTTTTTGTATTTGTCTGGGTGTTTTACTAGGTGTATACTAGGTATTGTTGGAAGCTTGTCCATAATTTCTTTTATAAATATTGAATTATTTTAATATCAGTTTATCTCTTTTGACTTCTCCTTCACTGTGAGCACTACAATAGTCTACAATATAACTGTATTGAAAATGCAATTTCTACATAGGTAACAAACTTAATAAAATTAAAAAAAAAACAAATTTTTAAACATCTGTACTCATTTAGGTCTATTACAGACTCTTAAGAGTATGTGATATGTCAAATCTACCGTCAGTTCGGAATGACTTTGAGATGAGATGAACTGATAAGAAACTCAGTTTAATAGTAAACATATATATTAACATTACTTTAAAATCAATGAAACTTATTTATTATTTATTTCATTGACAACAATCCGCGTAAATTTTAAGATATACCTATAATTATTATATCATTACATAGTATGAAACAAAGTCGCTGTCGCTGTCTGTCCGTCCCTATATATGCTTAAATCTTCAAAACTACGCAACGGATTTTGAAGCGGTTTTTTTTAATAGATAGAGTGATTTTGGAGGAAGATTTTTATGTATAATACATGTACACCCGGGCAAAGTTGAGGCGAGTAGTTTAAGTAGAGTAGTAGTAAGTTTAACCAATTTCCCATCAACTACTCTTCGATTTACGTCAATCTCGCCTTTAATCTAATATAAAACAGATAATATACGACCTCGGCAGATTTATTGGCAGCCTTATATGGGAAATCAGTTATCTAAATAAAGGCAACAATTTCCACGTCCCTTCCCAACATGGCAACACTCGATCGAACGTTTCGAAACATACAAGTCCCTCGACATTATACTTACATGTATGAAAATAGTATTTATCAAATGGTGGAGTCAATTCGGAAACATGAATCCCTAAACATAACCCTAAAAGTTACTTTTCAATTATTCACTACCGTTTCGAATGATTAATTTACGGTTTATTTATGTACAGTATTATGAATAATGTAGTGTTTATTTATTTTATACATATGTTGTGTAGTCGGCAGTGTTATTGGACTATCTGCAAATTAAATAAACATGGCAAACTTAGGCCCATGCCTATCAAAGATTTGCAGATTTTGCGATGTTTAAGTGGAAACGCCACTACATGTAGGATAAAAAATATGATTATTCAAAAGTAATAAATATAAATTGGTTATTACTATTTCACAAAATCGAAAGTTGAAGAATAACAATCGTTTAGAAAAGAAACAGGCAGGTTTTTGTCAATTCAATTTTTGCTGCATTCGATTTCCGAACGAGTGTTACAATAAAAATACTATTTAAAAGTGTACAAGCACTTTTTTTAAGTGCATTTAAATAAGCATTAAGTTTAATTAATGAATTATAAAATAAGTGTAATAATGCACATGACATTTAAATTTATTATTATGAAATTGACATTTTCCTTTTTATACATGTATCTATTTTAGAATTTTATTACATATCATAATTTTAATTAATGCATTACATTAATTAAAATTATGATATGTAATAAAATTTAACACAATGTAAATTGTTATGAATAAATGAAATGAATGAAATTAATTCTATAAGTAGGTTATACATATATTACTTGGTTGATATTGTAATTTTTTAAATGCACTTTGAAATGAAATTTAAATACCTTAAATTGTTAAGTCCGCCATGTCAAACTTTATTTGTGTATTAAGTTTTAATAAATAAAGAAATATATTAAGGTGTCAGAAAGATTTAATATCCATATATAAACGAAGTAATTGTATACTATAAATTTGGTTAGTGATTAAATTTATTGCAAAACAACTAGTACCTACAATATGTATATTAAAGGTTGTAACAAATAAACAACATGAACGTATTATTACAATTAAGTATTTAGAGCGAATTAATTCGTTCCGAGAAATTACCCAATAATAGTAGAAACGGTACAGATGTTCGAAACATCCGGTATTTAACACACTGACCTACGCCATTTGCAACGGGCAACAATACAAAATGTCCGCCCCCAACTGTCAAACGCATTGAATTCGCGCGCATTTAATTTTATTTTGTACACATTGTGTACACGAATTTTGGGACTATAAATACGACAGATAATTTGCTGTATGAATAGAGTTAATTACGACATTTATTTATTGTATCCATTTCGGTAGACACGGGGGTTGCTCCTGTTTCTATTAGTGATATTCGCCCTTTACGATACACAAGGGGTGAGTCTGTAGCGATATCGAATTTTTTTTTTACTTGTTTTGTCTGTGGCCAGTATTTGGTATGCAGAAAATATACATAGGTACTTATTTACATAAATTTAAGACGCAGATAATTAAGAATATATATTTGAATTTACTTGGTC